TTAATCTTATTCAAAGAAATGAAAAGTATTGATAATGATTATCATCATTATGATAATGATGATCATGATGATCATGATCATGATCATGAGCGCGATCATGACATCTTATTGAAAAAATGAGGAATGATTTAGATAGCATTAGTCTCAGCTACAACATACTCAAAAATCAACAAAATCCAAGCCGAAATAAACGGCGATATTGCTCGCAAAAGACAGGAATGTAGACTCCAGATTTTAGGAAAAAGTCATCTCCATAGGGATTACACGCAAAAAGTAATGGATTAAGTGAATAGGTAATAATAAGTAAAAAGGGTTATTTATGACATTATTTGCGAATCTACGTGTTTAAATAATCAAAGGAGATGGAGAGTAGAGTGAAGGTCAAAAGGAACAAAAAAGTGAAAAAAAAGTGTTGGAGACACCCGGACTCGAACCAGGGATCTCGAGGTTGGAAGTCAAGTGCGTTACCGATATACCAAACATCTCCCTAGCGATTACACGTAAAAGGAAATGGAATTCAGAAATCCCACTTTGCCAAGTGAAATATGAGCATGATCCCGGCATCTAATCGAAAAATAAAAGGCACACTTTTAATAGCTCATTGTCTCAGCTAAACATATCCAAAGCTCAGCGAAAAAAAAAGCTAAAACAAAACGGAGATTTTGCTCGCGAAAGACAGGAGTGTAGAATCCAGTTTGAGAAAAAGTCATGTCCCATAGAGAATACACGCAAAATGCGAAAAATTGACATGCCTCCTTTAATCGCAAAAAACACACCATGATACTTTTGTCAAAATAAAAATTGTGAAATACTGCATTTGTAGAAAATTGTCACAGTTAGAACATAGCCAAATTTGGAAGAAAATCAATAAATATTACGAGAAATACACTAAATTTTCCATGAATATGCTGACGTCATAATATGCAAATTAAAATTTTGAGTTTGGAGGCCATTATGATGACGTCATGAGTTAATTGAGGGTCAAATGAGACATAAAATCATATCTTTGACTCATAATCTATCTAAATATGAAAAAATATTGGGGAGTTCCGTATATTCTGAAGAGTACAAAGAATTTTGTATAGGCGTAATTTGTTACCATGAACTAATTAGAAACTCTCTTATTGAGATAAAGCAATTATATTTGTCTTCTATGTATTACTGCAGGATTCAGATATTACAGCAGCAGAGGAAACTCTCCAATCTAGGACCCTGCTGGCATACATCTGTGAGGATGTCTTACTAGCTGGCCGGACCGTGAGTCTTTGCAAGGAAGGCAGTATACGTATTCGGTTTTGCTGAATAAAGAAGGTATTATATCTCTAAATGTTATATATTTAGTCAACATGTCAGAGATTAGGTAATGTGGTCCCCATGGTCAACTTCAAGGTCAAATCTTAGGTGAAATGATGGCAGGTTGGAATCCTTATTGAATTACCTTTTCAACAATACCATTTTTGTGAAGAGAAGTTCCTGAGATACAAGGGTTCAAAGATGGTTATGCCCATTTTTGCCTAATATCTCAAAATTTGGTGGGCCAAATCTTCCAAACTCTTCACCAGATTAACCTAAATTTGACATTTGGTGCTGTGAGATCACACTTGACAAGTTCACTAAGTTTCATAAAATAGAAAATGGTCGGATTAAAACCATTGTATGATTTGACATGGAATGACCCTACGCTGGATTTACATAAAACTGCACAAAGTAATTGTATGGAAAGTAGTTTTCATTAAGAACTATGTGTTATTCTTGACCCATGATAATCGGTAATCCAATCACTTGTTTTTTTTCTTCTTCAGAGAACAAGGTACATCACTGGTCCTTACCGTGTGGAGAGCAGACGAGGTCGCAGAAAAGCCACCACATCTGGAGACCATTCAGTCAGGAGAGGTGTACAAGCACTTGATAGAAAGGTTCACTTCAGCTGATGACCTGATCCTTGTGTACGGACCACTAGTTGGTGAGTTTTCATCATATCCATTCCGTAATGATGTACCTTTATTTTGAATTAAACTTTGTCATAAAGTTAAGTGGTAGTTTAAATCAAAATCTTCCTATATTTTGTCTAGTTTTTACTTTTATTTTTCTTTGAAATTTCTGCTTCAAGTCACGTCGGTATCAATGGGGAGTTATCTCCCCATTGATTATTTAGCAAATGCATCCAGGTGAGAACTTCGTGGATGATCAGCCGAGGAAAACTATATCCACTTTGATAATAGTCACGTTTCGAGTAAACGTTTAATCGTATACCCGCCCGGTAAAGCCAGTAGTGAATAATGAACTTGATAACAGTATAATCGATGACTCATTGGGAACCCAAGAACATCACCTAAAAAGAGTCTAAACGGATGTGAAATAGAAATCTGTCACAATAATTCTACTTTCTAAGACATTGTCAAGGAAGTTTAAATAAACAAATTCCTACCTAATCTTAAAGGTACTATGTCCCATTTGCAGGCCAAAAAAAGAAAAGGTTAAATTCCAACGGCATTTGAAAAATAATACTAATTTAGAACTTCCCTAAAAAAGGTGGGGCTTGAAAATATCTTCAAGTGGGAAAATAAAGACTATTAGTTGTCAAATCGACTTTGAGAGCCAATAAGTAATATTCTTGATTTTCAGACCATGTACCGCATGGTCATACGTTTTATGCTGCGCAAAGATTCAATTAGTTGAATTTGGCCATCACAATAAGTGGGTTATTGATGTAGATAAATGCTCATGTACCATTTACAGCTCATTTTATGGATGTTATTACCAAAGAAGAAAAAAAGCCAGTCAGTCACTCAATAGTGTCCGACAGTGAATTCTAGCGGGTTTCCTTGCATAATTTGAATATTAGGACAATGCTAACGTTTAAATTTCACAGATATATTAACATACATGACATATTCATAATCAACCAATTTATAATGTATCGTTTAGATGTATAGTTGTCCCAAGTGTTGTGGTCTGTCTAATGAAAATAGATGTCAGAGGACAATAAGGATATTTGTAATGTTGTCCATCACAGTGAACATTACTATTTGTATCATTTATATCATGCTAGAATCCCATTATATAATGTTGGCTGGACAAAAGGTCCGGGATCACAGGGCCTGAAAGTTTCACTCTGTACCCCGAGTTCTCTGTGTGAGGAAAAAAATATTTTGAGTGAATCGGTTATTTCAGCTAAGTAATCATATTTCGTAAAATCATCTATCAGTGAACAGTGGTCATAACAATTGATCTGTTTCAATGTCTTGATTTCTTTTCTTTTTTTCTCCATGTCGATTGTAAATTTCCAGATGCTACAGTTGCAGCTTTTAGACTGCATAGAAAAGCTGTAACAGTGGGATGTCCTGAAGTTGAGGAGGAAATTCGATTGATGGTGCGGCAATCTACCCTAATGGACAGCAGTGATCCCTACGAATACAGCGACGATTGATTTATATTAGGACGCTTGGTCAAAGGGGATACGATTTTCTAGTTTGGTACATGGTCAAAGGAGATAACAATTTCTAGTTTGGTCTTTGGTCAAAGGGGATAAAAATTTCCGGTTTGGCATTTGGTCAAAGGGGATAAAAAATTTCCGGTTTTGGCAATTGGTCAAAGGGGATAAAATTTTCCGGTTTTGGTATATGGTCAAAGGGGATAAAAATTTCCGGTTTTGGCACTTTGTTCAAAGGGGATAAAAATTTCCGGTTTTGGCATTTGGTCAAAGGGGATAAAAATTTGGCTCACACAAGTGGAGTAAATTGTATATCTATCATTCATAGGTATTTTATTATTTGTACTTATTTATTTATATCTGTTAATGTATGAAAATGTCCAGATTTTGACATTTGGTCAAAAGGGGATAAAAATGTCCGGTTTTCAAGACATGGTATTGCTATGGCTGACTCTATCAATTGTATTTGTATCGTCATATGTTTTTCATTATTTGTATATATTTATATTTGTAAATATTTGAAAATGTCCAGATTTGGGCATTTGGTTAAAAGGGGATAAAATTTTCCAGTTTCATGACATGGTTTTGCTATTGCCTTACACAAATGGATTGTATATGAATCATAGACATGTATTTCATTATTTGTACTTATGTTTGTAAATAATGAATATTCATTTTTGTAAAAGAAAGATATTACTTAATTTGTCTTTGATTATATGAATATTTTGTACAGTTATTATTTGTTTATCTTTGTTAGTAATAAAATTTTCTCTGCATATATTTATTTTGTAGATTTCTTTCATTAAATTGTAGTTGTGATTGTACTATATGATTCTGACAGATGAATCAATTAATAAGTGAGAATGATTATATACAGTATAAAAGAGAGAGAGAGAGAGAGAGAGAGAATTAGAGGATATTGGCACTTGGAATGAGATGAAAATGAGCATTAAGTAATTAATTGGCAAAAGTGTTTTTAAATAAATCATGTTAGATGCAAAATATTGTCAGAGACACATAGTTTTTCCAAAGTACACTAGTATAGGAAAACAGTAACAAATTACCAGTAAATGAGCATAAAATTGCTTCACTTAATCTGGATTTATCAACATTCCTAGACCTACATACCAAAGCTTTTAAAAAATCTGATTTCCTTTGAAATAATTTATTGTTTATAATAATGATTATAATTACGATATTTACTATGATAATCAATATAACAATGATAATAATAATGATTATTATGATACTGCTGCTATTACTAGTACTACTACAACTACTAAGAAGAAGTAAATGAAGAAAAAGTGGTAGGAGAAGAATCATTTCAGCGATATTAGTGAGTATATTCTCAATGATTGAGGCATACACGTGCATAAACATTACATATTCCGTGGTAAGAATAAAGTAAGCGAGGAAAATGAAGGCAATGACAAACGAGAGCGAGAGAGAGAGAGAGAGACAGAATATGGCCGGGTTCAAATTAAGTTTTCTCTAAATTATTAGACCCAGTACTGAGGATCTTTTAATCTGCCATGTTTTTGTTATTTGATGGCTTATGAAGCTACATAGAAATGCCGTCTTTTGTCACCAAATATTGTTCAAATAGCATTGTAGAGACGATGAACAACAGCGAACGCAAAGTCGTTAGCCATGACAATGTAAATTTCTATCTCGTTCTGCTAAATGATCCGAACAATAGAATCAACCAAGTAGATGTTAAACGAATTTTTTCATGAGTTCTGAAATTTCAATTTGTTACTGCATGTCATAATAGTATTAAAGAGCAGCAATGGCGAACGATTGTCGATAAAATTCAGAAATTGTTGCTTAGATTGATTAAATTACCATGAGACATCAAGCTACATAGAACTATGATCGACAAACATGATATTGTTTTGAAAACAGTCTGAAAACATTGGAGCTAGAATGAATAAGAGATAATGTGGTCATGTAAACAAGTGCATTATGTCCATGTTAATCCCCTAGTTCCAATATCATTATTGTATTCTCTATTTATTTCTCCTATATAATTTATTTCAATTTAAAATAGAAATTCTAATGTTCCTTCTTTTGGCTTGATAATATTTCAGCAACGAATTGACAGTTTTGGTAGACATCTTGGATGTATCGTAGCAATAAATTCTTGGCACATGACGTATTGTGTATACGATAGTAATGATAAGAAGAAGAAGCATACAAATAACTATAAGAATAATAACAATAACACATAATTACTATAATAATGATTATAATTACGATATTTACTATGATAATCAATATAACAATGATAATAATAATGATTATTATGATACTGCTGCTATTACTAGTACTACTACAACTACTAAGAAGAAGTAAATGAAGAAAAAGTGGTAGGAGAAGAATCATTTCAGCGATATTAGTGAGTATATTCTCAATGATTGAGGCATACACGTGCATAAACATTACATATTCCGTGGTAAGAATAAAGTAAGCGAGGAAAATGAAGGCAATGACAAACGAGAGCGAGAGAGAGAGAGAGAGACAGAATATGGCCGGGTTCAAATTAAGTTTTCTCTAAATTATTAGACCCAGTACTGAGGATCTTTTAATCTGCCATGTTTTTGTTATTTGATGGCTTATGAAGCTACATAGAAATGCCGTCTTTTGTCACCAAATATTGTTCAAATAGCATTGTAGAGACGATGAACAACAGCGAACGCAAAGTCGTTAGCCATGACAATGTAAATTTCTATCTCGTTCTGCTAAATGATCCGAACAATAGAATCAACCAAGTAGATGTTAAACGAATTTTTTCATAAGTTCTGAAATTTCAATTTGTTACTGCATGTCATAATAGTATTAAAGAGCAGCAATGGCGAACGATTGTCGCTAAAATTCAGAAATTGTTGCTTAGATTGATTAAATTACCATGAGACATCAAGATACATAGAACTATGATCGACAAACATGATATTGTTTTGAAAACATTCTGAAAACATTGGAGCTAGAATGAATAAGAGATAATGTGGTCATGTAAACAAGTGCATTATGTCCATGTTATTCCCCTAGTTCCAAATCATGATTGTATTCTCTATTTATTTCTCCTATATAATTTATTTCAATTTAAAATAGAAATTCTAATGTTCCTTCTTTTGGCTTGATAATATTTCAGCAACGAATTGACAGTTTTGGTAGACATCTTGGATGTATCGTAGCAATAAATTCTTGGCACATGACGTATTGTGTATACGATAATAATGATAAGAAGAAGAAGCATACAAATAACTATAAGAATAATAACAATAACACATAATTACTATAATAATGATTATAATTACGATATTTACTATGATAATCAATATAACAATGATAATAATAATGATTATTATGATACTGCTGCTATTACTAGTACTACTACAACTACTAAGAAGAAGTAAATGAAGAAAAAGTGGTAGGAGAAGAATCATTTCAGCGATATTAGTGAGTATATTCTCAATGATTGAGGCATACACGTGCATAAACATTACATATTCCGTGGTAAGAATAAAGTAAGCGAGGAAAATGAAGGCAATGACAAACGAGAGCGAGAGAGAGAGAGAGAGAGAGAGAGACAGAATATGGCCGGGTTCAAATTAAGTTTTCTCTAAATTATTAGACCCAGTACTGAGGATCTTTTAATCTGCCATGTTTTTGTTATTTGATGGCTTATGAAGCTACATAGAAATGCCGTCTTTTGTCACCAAATATTGTTCAAATAGCATTGTAGAGACGATGAACAACAGCGAACGCAAAGTCGTTAGCCATGACAATGTCAATTTCTATCTCGTTCTGCTAAATGATCCGAACAATAGAATCAACCAAGTAGAATCAACTGTTAAACGAATTTATCATGAGTTCTGAAATTTCAGTTTGTTACTGCACGTCATAATAGTATTAAAGAGAAGCAATGGCGAACGATTGTCGCTAAAATTCAGAAATTGTTGCTTAGATTGATTAAATTACCATGAGACATCAAGCTACATAGAACTATGATCGACAAACATGATATTGTTTTGAAAACATTCTGAAAACATTGGAGCTAGAATGAATAAGAGATAATGTGGTCATGTAAACAAGTGCATTATGTCCATGTTATTCCCCTAGTTCCAAATCATGATTGTATTCTCTATTTATTTCTCCTATATAATTTATTTCAATTTAAAATAGAAATTCTAATGTTCCTTCTTTTGGCTTGATAATATTTCAGCAACGAATTGACAGTTTTGGTAGACATCTTGGATGTATCGTAGCAATAAATTCTTGGCACATGACGTATTGTGTATACGATAATAATAATAAGAAGAAGAAGCATACAAATAACTATAAGAATAATAACCATAACACATAATTACTATAATAATGATTATAATTACGATATTTACTATGATAATCAATATAACAATGATAATAATAATGATTATTATGATACTGCTGCTATTACTACTACTACTACAACTACTAAGAAGAAGTGAATGAAGAAAAAGTGGTAGGAGAAAATCATTTCAGCGATATTAGTGAGTATATTCTCAATGATTGAGGCATACACGTGCATAAACATTACATATTCCATGGTAAGAATAAAGTAAGCGAGGAAAATGAAGGCAATGACAAACGAGAGCGAGAGAGAGAGAGAGAGAGACAGAATATGGCCGGGTTCAAATTAAGTTTTCTTTAAATCAGACCCAGTACTGAGGATCTTTTCACGTGCCATGTTTTTGTTATTTGATGGCCTTTGAAGCTACGTAGAAATGCCGTCTTTTGTCACCAAATATTGTTCAAATAGCATTGTAGAGACGATGAACAACAGCGAACGCAAAGTCGTTAGCCATGACAATGTAAATTTCTATCTCGTTCTGCTAAATGATCCGAACAATAGAATCAACCAAGTAGAATCAACTGTTAAACGAATTTATCATGAGTTCTGAAATTTCAATTTGTTACTGCACGTCATAATAGTATTAAAGAGCAGCAATGGCGAACGATTGTCGATAAAATTCAGAAATTGTTGCTTAGATTGATTAAATTACCATGAGACATCAAGCTACATAGAACTATGATCGACAAACATGATATTGTTTTGAAAACAGTCTGAAAACATTGGAGCTAGAATGAATAAGAGATAATGTGGTCATGTAAACAAGTGCATTATGTCCATGTTAATCCCCTAGTTCCAATATCATGATTGTATTCTCTATTTATTTCTCCTATATAATTTATTTCAATTTAAAATAGAAATTATAATGTTCCTTCTTTTGGTTTGATAATATTTCAGCAACGAATTGACAGTTTTGGTAGACATCTTGGATGTATCGTAGCAATAAATTCTTGGCACATGACGTATTGTGTATACGATAATAATGATAAGAAGAAGAAGCATACAAATAACTATAAGAATAATAACCATAACACATAATTACTATA